AAAAAAACCATCGTGACCTTGAAATGACCTTCAAAATTGACCTCAAGGTCAAAACTAATGGTACAATTAAATGACCCCCTCTGTCCTGGTCAACTTTTATCTAAACCATTTTTTTGTAGATACCGTAATTTGGAAGATATTCGGGTCCATAGATTAAAATGACTCACCCTGTATATCGATGACAAAAAGATCATTCTTTCAGAAAGGAAGATGGGTTTTCTAGGTATGCTAATATGTTTACAAAGTATAAAAGATATAGCCGAAACACTAGTTGCAACCAAGAAACAGAATTTTTTACTATAACATACAAAATGTCTCAAGACCACCTTGAGATGTTTTTTTAAGCTATACGAACTAAAGGTGGTCATAACAATAATCCATCAGCCAGGCAATTTAGTTATGCTTACAGACGACTTTTATATCATACAAAACTAACAATATTGCCTCATGGTAATGCTATTGCACAGGATGATACAAATATATTAAATATTACAAATGAAAGAAAAACTATGGATTTTTATGAAGATAAAATAGTAGAAGATAAAAATGAAAATGATTCTGAAAATAAAAATGAAAATGATTGTATCTCTGAATCAATGTCTCTGAATCGGATGACGATATAAGTGACAATTGGTGTACATCAAATTATATTAAAGATGTTGTAGCATATATTTCTGGTTTTGTTTCCCGGAAAGTAAAAAAAAATTAAATGTTGTATTTGTAAGCATTTATTGATTGGAACGGATTGCATGTCAGCATTACAACAAAGAAAATGTAGAGGAGGACTAAGTAATGTATCAAGTAATGTTATTAAATTATGTATAATAATATCGCAGAAAGAATAATAAGAAGATATCCACAGGAACATAATAAACGGCATCCTATCCAAAGAATGATTATTATTGCTTTGCGTTATGAACATCTGATATTTGATGATGTATTACATATGTTAGAACAAGCACCACTGCTGGATAGAACAGAATTAATAAAACTTGTGCTACACACATATATACAATTAAGACTGCGGTACATATTTGCATCAAAACAACATAAAATAAAAAGAGTTAGAAAGAAGTTTACTACATTGGTTAATTTTAAAAATCAATAAATAAAATTTGATTTCTAAAAATTTAATTTAAAAATTATCATGTTTAACATTAGCGGTCTTTCAATCTTATTATTGTTTAATATAAAACTTGTTCCAAAATTCTTTTCCTATATGTTTTCTATATTTTTCCTATACATTTAATTTTTTAGAGAATTTTATTTATCTTGTATTAAAATTATGTATTTTTCATACATTACTATACCTATATGATTAGTATGATTTGTGATGAGTAAAATTTATTAATAATAAACTTAATACAATTAATTAAATATGATTTTGTAAGATTTTTCCTTTAAAAACTAAAAAAATGTTGTTCACTGAGCAAATTTAGAAGAATGTTATATATAAATGATGCCTAAGTTAATTGGTTAGGTTAGGTATCATTCGAATTTAAATGTATCACTCGATTATATTAATATAAACTTTACTATCATTAGATAAATATCATTAGGTTTGTATAATAATTATTTGAATGAATTTGATATATTTTTAATATTATTTCAAAATAAAATAATTTTATCTCATATGTTTATGATCGCATTTTCTGACCTGTTTATTTACACTTGCGACTATTAAGAGCGCTTCTCTTTCTCTCTCAAGATAGAAAGAGATGCAACGGGTCTAGTTTAGAGACCCTATTTGTATATACTGTGGTTCTAGTCTTCTTGTCCGGACTAAAGCAAGATTGTGGACCTAGCCTTATTGACAATTTTAAACTCGTCTAGTGTCATCAATTGCATAGCAGCTATAAAGCCTTGTGTCCACGATGCTAGAAATCGATTTGAGATCTCGGATAGAGAGAAAGTTACTAAAACTCAAATCGTGGACACAGGAAACTCGGATAAATATCTCGAACAGAAGTCTCGTAGCCTTGTGTCAACGATGTTAGAAATTGATCCGAGTTCTCGATTATTTTCGATCCAAGAAAATGTTACTAAAAACTCGAATCGTGGACACAGGCAACTCGGATAAATATCTCGAACAGAAGCCTCGTACAAAAAAATGCATCCTGTCCCATTTTTCGTACTAGCTGCTTCATTTTGATGCAATTCCTTTAGCCAACATTATAAAGCTAGTCAGTTTGGACAACATGAGAAACATTACGTAGATACTGGTAGATACTTCATCAGAACTGATCAGAACGACAGCCTTCGAGCCAGTAGGACGCGTGAAGACAATTTAAAGCAATCCATTAAGACAGTAAGCAAGAATAAATAAAACAAGAATGGTAAGCAAGAATAAATAAATTAAACGGACAGAATTAAATCGATGGATTCTTGTAGTAAAATTAAAATTATAAAATGTATAAATTAAAATAATTAAAATATAACAATATATTTCTGCACTAAAAAATATAATTATCAATTTTCAGGAAAACATGGATAGAAATAAAGTTCGAACTTTGTTGTTATTGTATCAACAACATCCATGTTTATACGTTGTAAAATCTGTAGATTATCATAATCGTATAAAAAGAGAAAAAGCTTTACAAATAATATGCGATCAGTATACAGAGATCACAAAACAACCAATAACAATAGAAATCGCAAAAAAGAAGATCAACAATTTAAGATCACAATATTTAGATTATCTCAATAAGATTAAACAATCAAAAGCAAGCGGTGCATCAACTGATAAGATTTATAGACCTACCTGGTGGTTGTACGAGGATATGAAATTTCTCGATCCTTATATTGCACAGAGAAAAGGAGAATCTTCTATAACAGAAAGAGTGAGTAGAAATAAAAAGATACTTGAAAGTTATAAAAATATTATAATTAGATAAATAACAATTGAAAAATAATGGTAATTTATAGTTTTCTAAGGATGAATCAGAATCTTCAACAATGAACAGGTTACTAAATGAAGATGATACGGACAGTTTACAGCTATTGGATGTATATAATGTTTTAAAAGAGAAAGACCATGATAAAGGTGAGAAAGATAGATTTTTATTATATTTTATAATATATTTTAATATATTTATATATATTTTAATATATAAGATATTTTAATATATTTATATCACGCATGTATATGTGTATGTATATACATATTTATAAGAATTATAAATTTTCGATTTATTTATAATTATTATTTTTATTTATTTTATGTAGAAAATATCCATGAAAATATTCAGTCGTCCCCTTCAATGAGTCACACTTCAACACAATCACGTACCGCAACACCGTTATCTAAAAGAAAAAAATCTGAAACTGTATCCCTTGAAGCTACAAACAATTTTTGGTCAAAGGCATCGACTGCAATTGAATCATTAGTTAAAAATGAAGAAACAGAAGACGGCTTGAAACATTGGATTCTATATTTAGAGGAGTTACGCAAAATTAAAAATTTGAAAAAATTAAAAGGTTTGCAAAGAAACATTATCGCATTAGTAGATGATGCAGACAGTGATTAAATAACATATACTGTTTTTTATATCGTTCTATTTTATTATTATTCATACAAGTGTTCATATAAGTTGTGTTAAAAGTATGTGATAATTATTTTATTACTATAGTGAGTAACGTACGTATGAGTATGTGATACAAAATTATTTTATTACTATAGTAACGTACGTATAAGTATATGATACAAAATTATTTTATTACTATACTTATTATTTTATTATTATTTTATTCTGCTATCAGTGATAGCTATCACTGCAACTTCTGTGTTATTTGTTTTATCTAAGTAAAATACTCATTCCTCATTAATATTATATATTTTATTCATAAAATTTAACATTTTTATAAAATCTATTACAATACATTTTTGTTGTACATTAAAAATGATTTACGATGTAATAGCTATTTATTGTGTTAATACAAAATATAATGTAATTGTTACAAAGTAGACAATAAATACAATTATTTTGCATGTTGCAATTTTATATCTATAACTTAAGTATTTTATATTATATATCTATATATCTCTATATCTCTATATCTTATATTTTATATTTTATATCTATTTCATATCTATAAATACTTAACAAAATTAAATCATAGCTTCTTGGCATTCAACTCTTCCAACAGTATTAAAATATTCTTTAAAAACGTCACGAATATAAATTGCATTTCTATTAGATCTTATGTTTACAATTTCTAAATTACGTAACTGTACATTATTATTTCTCCAGCATTATTATTTCTGTAGCAGGTATTATGGTTTCATTTTCTAAATCTTCAATATCTACAGCTCCTTGTAAAGAATTATTTTCTTTACTGATATAATTATGTAAAGCGCAGCAAGCAAGTGTTATATTTTGAACTGATTCTACGGATAAATATATTTGTGTTAGAAGAACGCGAAATCTGTTAGCTAATATGCCAAAAGCATTTTCAACTACTCTTCTACCTCTACTTAGTCTATAATTAAATATTCGTTCATCATGAGACAAGTTGCGTGATGGATAAGGTTTCAATATGTGATTTTGCAATGGAAAAGCCGCATCAGCTAAAATAACAAAAGGAATAGGCTGATTCATACCAGGTAATGGCTTATCTGTTGGCACATTTAATGGATTTTGTGAATCATTTATATATTTTGCCAAATCGCTTTCACGAAAAACTCCTCCATCGCTTACTCTACCATTAACACCAACGTTGACATATATAAATTGATAGTGAGCATTAACTAATGCTAATAAAACAATACTGTTTGTACTCTTATAATTATGATACAATGATCCTTGACTGAGAGGAACTTTAAACTCAATATGCCTGCCATCCATTGCACCGATGCAGTTTGGCACATTCCATTGTCTCAAATAATTATCAGCAACATGAATCCATTCTTCTTCGGTATCTGGAGTCTAAAATATTATGTATGCTAATTATTATGTATGTAAATATTATTTGAAATATTGATAGCATATTCGATACAAGGAAATAAAAATTATAATTTTAATAGTTACCCTTAAATATTCATCTTTTAGTACTTCATAGATGACTCTAACTGTCTCAGGAATAATACGTGATAAAGTACAAGCTGGTACTCTTGTTGCGAATTCCATGCTGCGAAAAGATTCCCCAGTAGCTAAGAATCTTAGAGTCAAGGATAGTCTTTGAATTGATGGAATGCACTTTCGCATAACTGTATCTTGTTTTTGAATATATAGAGATACTTTATCCAACAGATTGTTGAATAATTGAAAATCCATTCTAAAGAATCTACAAAAAGATTCTATATCTTCGTAGATAAGTTCATTGAGTGCTAAGTGAACAGATCCTCTTAATTCAAACTCTCTTCGTACAATCCACTCTCTTGTCCACCACCTCCGTTGTCGGTTTTGTAATTCTCCGTTATATTTCTTGCTCTTCTTGTTGTTCCACAACCATAGCAAAAGTTGCAAGAGTCAGCAATTTCTTCAATTTTGTCTTTCTTGCTGAGTTATTCATGTTCCAACTAACACTGTGAATAGGTTAGGTTATGTACATTAGTTCTCTTCAATTAAAAGCAGTTCGTATTTTAATTTCACATATATCAATAATTTTTAATAGTTAAAAAAATATTTTTAGCTTTATCTATTATATTTCCCGAATAATCAAAATAAATTAAAATTTACTCAGACTTGAAGGAATATTAATACTGGATATGCTCTGTTTTTCATGCATTTTTCATTCTAATTATTTAACTAAATGATTTCAAACTTTTATTGCATTAAACGGAACAAACTTATATTTATTTCAAAATATTATTTTTATTTCAATGTATTTAAAAAATTAGAATTTCACATTTGTAAATTCTATATCAATGTTGATATAAATTACGCTTTTTCTTCAGTTAGAGAATGGCCGCGTCTCCAATGTAATTATTAAGTAAATCCGTTGAAAAAAGGAAAGTATGTAAAGGAAAGCATGTCCGTACCAAACGATCCCTCGAGATTTACTATATATCATATAAATTACGAAAACGTGTATTAATCGTTGTCGTACATCAGCGCAAAATGATTTTCCGATCCAACACAACAAGATTACGTATGTCGTAGGATATATGTACGTTTACATATATCCTATTGTGTTAACGCTATCTACAGTCATCAAAGTACAACTATTTCTATTTCAGGACTTGGATCGAGAACTCGGACGGATTTCTAGCATCGTGGACACAAGGCTTAAGAGTCTGGCCAATGTTGCTAGTTTGACAAAACATGGCGTCGTCGTACATAACCCTATAGTATAGGGACTCTATACATAACCACAAACGTGATGTGATCGATTAATTTGAAACACTTCATTGGCTCCGCCATATTTTGTCAAAACCAATAGGATGGATGACAACATTGGCCAGATTCTTAGTATAGGGTCTCTAGTCTAGTTAAACTGCCAACTTCCGGTTTCAAGCTAAGAACAGAATGTTCGATCTATGTGCATCGTGGACACAAGGCTTAAGGCCGGAATCAGACTAGGCATTAAAGATTGAGATTGAAGATTGAAAGATTGAAATTTGACCAATCATAACAATAGGAGCTAAAATTCCTTTGCCCTCATTAGTCAAATTTCAATCTTCAATCTTCGATCTCAATCTTCAATGCGTAGTCTGATTCCGGCCTAAGATCTTTTCACAGAACATGTACTAAACACGTTGCTCATACTTTTTGTGCTCAGCATCACTCAGCATTGCTCAGCGTCATCGCTTTCATTCTGTTCAACGTCCGAATATAATCTTCTTTTAAGTACAAAAATTTTTAAAGATTCCAAGCAACACTAGCAGGACCCCCTGAGACGCCCTGAGTCTTTTGAAAAGAAACTTATACGAAAAATTAGCAAATACTATAGTATACGTGATGCATACCGTAGTATTTCCCTAGACTTTATTATAAATCTATATTCAGTTGCAAATTACGATCAATAAAGTATTTACAGTATTTACTAATTAGTCAGTATTTACTAATTAGTCAGTATTTAGATTAGTTGGCCGTATCGTCTTCCTATTACCTACTTGGAGGCGAGAGCCAATAAACAAAGAAGAAGTATTTAGATTAGTGAGTAGATGTGTGGATGTTTTGTGTGTAGCCCACTGTCCAACAGGCTTATTGATTGTAAGCGTAATGCGTGGTCTACAATGGGCAGTAGCAGTAGTGAATTAAGGAGTAGGTGCAGAAATCGACTAATCGTAGTTGATTATCTTTCTCACATTCGATTATGATTGGTTGATTTCTGCGTCTACTCCTTAATCCACTACTGCTACTGCCCATTGTAGACCACGCATAAGATTTACCAGGCAGTCTCTCATATCGATAATTAAATTTTCTTGATTAAATCATTGAAACTCAGCGAGAGCATTTGCATATCGAACAAAGACTAATAACTTCTCTCTTTGAGCGATATTATAATGTATGCATAATGTTTAATTACAGTATTATTGTAACATCATTTTTTTGTAGATTTTATACAAATTATTGATTACTATAAGTCTGTAGAAGATCGACTTTTAAAACTATGGCTTTCTCAAATGGAAAGGATAATCATTTCATATCTATTCAATCCATGGAAGAAACTTATGTGAAAGATTATACAGAAGAAGAAGCCGAAGAGTATTTAAGGGTAAAAGGATCATTCATCACACATATAATTTTTTATAGCCAATTTATATTTAAAATTATATTTTATTCATTTATATGTATATTATTATGAATATAAACTGAGATACTTAAAAAGATGTTTATCCTGAAAGAGTACAAGAAGAAAAATTATCATCTGTTGTGTTTCTATATTCATTCTAGTATATGAACCAAAGAGATGAAAATAGAAAGAAATATAATGCAAATGTGACAGAAGAATTAGAAGACAATCTGCAAAGTCTTTATGTAGAAGATCTGGCTAAAGTCTATCGAGAATGCAGTTTTACTTACAATCCAAAATGTAACGATTTATCTATTCTGTCTATAAAGGATAAGATACTCTCAATAATCGAGACGAATTCGGTAGTCATCATTCAAGGGCCAACTGGCTGTGGAAAGACCACGCAGATTCCACAATTCATTCTCGATGCTAATATTAAGAAGAGACTCAATTGCAATATTATAGGTTTATCTTTTATTTATTAATATAATATGATACAAAATTAGAGTATATATGTACATAAAAAATAGTTAAAGAATTATAATCTCAATATAGTTACGCAACCAAGACGAATTGCTGCTATAAGTATCGCCAAAAGAGTGAGCCAAGAAGGAAATTGGCGTCTTGGTAGCCTTGTAGGTTACCAGGTGGGTATGCAAAAAGAAATCTCGCACGAAACCCGTCTAACTTACTGCACCACTGAAATTCTCCTTCAACATTTGATTCACACTAAACACATGTTGGATTATACTCATGTTATATTAGACGAAATTCATGAACGCGATCAAAATTTGGATTTCCTTCTATTAGTTGTTAAAAGATTATTGCAAACAAATTCTGGACAAGTCAAAGTTATTCTCATGTCAGCAACAATTAATGTAATAAAATTTGCAAAGTATTTTTCTACTATAGTAGAAAATGAATTAATCCCGGCGCCAATTATCAAGATTCCTGAAAAGAAAAATTTTGAAATTCGTACATATTATTTGGATGAGATCAAGAATCTAGGAAGTGTGAGTACAGATTACGAAAAATACTTATTTACAATTTATGATTTTCTGTATTGTGTGATATATTATTTTAGTGTTAAATTAAAATTATATATTAATATTACAAGTCTCATAAATTTTTATATAATATAACCAAGATACGTACATAAAGTATAATTATACAATAAATGTGTATTTTATAGATACCAGAAGTACTTGTCATGGAACCAAAGGTCACTCAAAAGATGCTCAATTTTTGCTCACTTATTATCAACGCTCTAGATGAAATTGATATAAATGATAATGAAGAAGATTCAAATTCACCTCAGAGACATGCCGTTCTCATATTTTTACCAGGAATTTATGAAATTGAGGAATTATATAATTACTTGTCGTCAACTTATCATCAGAATAAATTATGGGACCTAACGATTTTGCATTCATTGGTTTCTGACGATCACGAGCAGCATCGTGTTTTTGAAAAACCACCGAAAGGTTACAGACGCATTATACTTTCCACAAATATTGCTGAAAGCAGTATTACTGTACCAGATGTAAAATATGGTAAATATGCATTTTTTTTATGAGTTATATATTATCATAATTCTTGAGACAACGAAACTGTTTAATTGGGGGAGGGAGGGGGGAAATATTATATAAAAGTATTAAAATATAAAATAATATGTAAAAATATAGTAATAAACTAATATAAATGAACATTATTATTTTATAGTATTTGACTATTGATAAAGTGAAAAGAAGTGATTAATTAAAATATGTATAATTTGTAGTGATAGATTTTTGTCTTACAAAACTGCTGACATTTGATCCCGCGACACATTATCAAAGTTTGCAACTATGTTGGGCGAGTAAAACAAATTGTATACAACGAGCTGGTCGCACGGGTCGTGTAATGGATGGCAGAGTGTATAGATTAGTACCAAAAACATTTTATGACGTAAGTAACATTATGTAAGAGTAATATTACACTACTATTGAAGTATAAGACAAAACTTACAAATAGAATTCAAAATCGTATGTTTAATAGAATTTAATATTTAATAAGTAATATAAAGGATTTTACTGTAATTTTATTTACATCTCTCTCTCTCATTGTATATAGTATTTTTTTAAGATCTACAAGTGATATATTATATATGCGTATAATTTATCAGAGTTCATGTATTAAATTTTTCCTATGTAATACTTATTAATCGCTTTCTCATAAAATTTACAGAATATTTTGGATGACTACAGTGTACCAGAAATACTTCGCGCCCCGCTCGCCAATGTCGTTCTCCGAGCCAAAATCCTTGATCTCGACGAGCCACGTATTCTTCTTTCACATTCTCTTGATCCACCTACTCTCTCCAATTTGGCAAATACCATCTTGAGCTTAAAAGAAGTCGGAGCCTTGGTAGACGAGGGTGACTCTTTTCAAATGTTTGACGGAAATTTAACCGATCTCGGCAGAGTAATGGCGACTCTTCCGCTCGACATTCGAATTTCGAAATTAATTATGTTGGGCCATGTTTTCGGAGTCTTACGAGATGCTATTATTTTGGGAGCCAGCATGGCTATTAAGGATGTCTTCTCTTTGGAGCAATGCCATTCCACTGTTTCCTCTTATACGACTCGGAAAAAATGGGCCTACGGTTCTAATAGTGACTGCATTGCTACTTTAAATGTTTACAAGATGTGGCAGAATGAAAAAGCAAATCGGCGATTAAATTCTTATCAAGCCGAGAGACAATGGGCCCAGAGAAATGGATTCCAGGCAAAAGCCTTGCGCGAATTATATGCTTTGGTGAACGAAATCACCATTAGATTGCAGAGGTTTGGAATTAAAGAGAGTATAGGAGTAAATAAGGTCATCTGGCAAGGTACATTTAATTATTTAACATTTAATTCTTTTTAAGTCATTTATTAAATAATTTGATTTTTACTTATTTTCTATCATTCTATAATTATTTTTAATTATACTTTTCCATTTATTTCTAGGTGCAGATCGTGATTTCGCGCTTCAAGTTGCTCTTGCTGGAGCTTTCTATCCCAATTATTTCATTAAACGTTTACATAATCGAGAAATTTATAAAGAAAATATTACAATGACTTTGGGATCTTTGGACCCGATGAAAACAGTTTATTTAAGAGGTTGGCCAATGAAACAGCCTGGATATTTGTATGCCAAAAGATTTCAGGAAATTTTTGCCAAATGTCAAGGAATTCTAGAAAAGCATATAGAAGTATCTTTTGATGGATCGCAACGTGTTTACGTGCATTTTCGCGAGAAGGAAACCATTGACGATAGTCTTCAAAATATATCAGAGTTTGTTTATCAGGTAATTATTAATTTATTATTTGCATTATATAAGTAACATGAACGAAAATAAATATACATATATATATGTATATAAATATATATATAAAAGCAAATATATTAACAGAATGATATCTGTAATTGAATTGAACTGTAATGTTATATAAATTAAATTTTACGTAAAAACACGTACATAAGAATATGATTATAAAGAAAATGTAAATATTTTAAAATATTGTTTATAAAACAAGATAACTATTAATTAAAAATAATACTATATAGTATAATATATTTATTTATCAGGCTATCATGATGAGGCAGTGCAATATTCCAATCGAAATAAAATTGTTGAGCATAAAAGAAGCAAATGACAGGGCAAAACATCATAATTTCCATAAATTCGAGCGGAATGTTTTTTTTTACAAAAATGTTAAGAGGATAGAGAATGTTCCTAAAATCAGGCCAAATTTGCCAGGTCTTGATGTAACTTTTATACCTCTGTTTATACAAAATGTAAGGTTTCTTTTGTTTTATAAATTAATAATGTTTTATAAATTAAATTAAAATGTTTTATAAATTAAAGAGAATAATGTCCCTATATTAAAGACATATTTATTCTTTTAAATTATATGTATTTTTTTTAGATCGTTAGTCCTGGATCTTTCTGGGCAACTCTTGATGATGATATTACTCGTAGTGAATTACGAGTTATAGAAGAAATCCTCAATAAATGCCCCTTGAAAAAATTTCTCTCTATCCCAAAAATCTCGACCACAATTGCTGCTCCCATAGAAAAGAACAATAATTCTTTGGCTTACCATCGTGCCATAATTAAGGAATATATTTCAGAAATCGGAGAACTGGTCGATGTTTTCTTTATCGATTACGGTCGTTCCTCTAGAATACGATTTAGTGATCTAAGGAAAATTGATAATACTACAATTTTAAGAATTCCTCCCTTAGCATTTCGTTGCAATTTGGCTTTTTTGCGACCTTCAAATCAAGGCAATCTTCACGGTCAATGGTCAGAAAGATCAAAAAATTATTTTATAACACAAATCAAAGAAAACAAGAAGATATTAGGAAAAATTTATTCGATTGTTGATAGCGTTATTAATTTAGAATTGATCGTTGTTAATGAGAAAGAGGAGAGATTTAATGTTAATGAAGTTTTGATTGAAAAAGGATATGCTATAAAGAGAGAAGAAAGCTATATGTCACAGCATAATCACGAATTAAGGGCAAACATTAGTAACATTCATACAATATCGATAGAAGAGAAACAGTTTTACGAAGAGGAACAATACGACAAACATGAATTAATGGAAGTAAGTAGATTTGAATTTCGTATAAAAATTGAATTTATAGTAACTTGATATAATAATATATAGATATATAGATATATTTATAGTAAGTTGATATATAAATTAACATTACATGTGTACAAAAAAATTAATTTTTACTAATGATACTAGTACCCTAAATCACCTAAAGAAGAAGATTGCACCTCCAGCGTAAAACTCCAAGGTCCATTTTCTCCCTTAGAAATGGAATTGGTTCAGTTGACATTAAGTGGAAGATTGAAAAGGATAAATGTAGATATGAAGTCCGTCAATTCTGTCCTTTTGGATGATGATCTTAATCAATCAAGACGTCTTTTAGTTGCCCAGAGCACCACTCAGTCGAATAAAAATTCTCTAACACTAAGAAATACCACTTTCTTGCCAAATATTCCTGGACTCGCGGCACTGCTTACGCTGAGTTTTGCACCGCGTATGGAATTGAGATGTAATTCTCGCAGGACTTATTACACAGGGGCTTTATGCGGTTTGGGTTCAAAGGATAATTTCACTAATCGGGCTATATTTCCCGATCATGACATAGAAATTCAATTTGACGTAGAAATTACAATAGATGATGTGAAAGAGGTATTAGCATCTCTATAAACAATAATCTAATAATTCACAATATTTATCATGCGATTGCCTGTATATTATTATGTTAAATTGTTTATTTTCCACTATCGGTATCAACTCTTCATTAATTTTATAGACAGATTATAATTATGACCTTTTTCAATGATTACAATAGCAAAATGATAATATTGATAATCAATTTTCACAGATAAATAAATTACGCCACTGGATGAATACTGCAATGCAACTAGATAACTCCAGTGATGAAGATATTATACTTTATCAAAATAAAATCAAACACATTTTGCTTGAACTAAGAGAGAAACGAAGACAATCACGAAATCCAGAAAATGACGAGGTCGATCATCTTAGTGATAAGTGGAATCGCTATAACGGACCACATTTTTTACCATCTGTTCGAGAAAATGTGAGAAAAGGCGACGTATATCCGCTACATAAGGCGTTAGAATTACGTGAAACAAACGAACAGATGGAGGAAATGCTGAAGCATTTGTCACAATTAGAGAGTCTTGCCTACGAGTATGTAGATATTTGTATTTTCATGTATATTATTAGAATTATATTTTATATATTTTCTCTTTTTTTATGTCAGAGATGCAAGTATAATGGGAAACGTGACTGCTTTTTGTAAATTATGTGAAACAGAAATGTTTGGCCTATTGCAGCTACGCAGTCATCTTTATTCGGAGCAACATGCGGAGAATGAAAAATTGTTACGCCGTCAACTACATTAAGAGATTACAATATAATTTTTTAAATTAGTAATCTTTCGTCAATCTCCGATCCTATTTCAAAACACAAAAAATGTTCTTGCATATTATTTTTTTACTCACCTCATTCTATGGATTATGTATAACAATTGTGCAACAAACGTACAATGAGAACAGAATTCTGGTTTAAAGAAACGCTGTTTCAGGATAAAAGGATATATAAAATAGAGACAATCTATTTAATATTTCAAGTATTTTATGTTTATGTATAATAATAATAATAATTCTTGACACATGCACACACGCAGGAGGCAGTTTGTGATATTATGAATATATAAAAAAGTTTATTTACATTTGTTGTCTCTATTTTACACAAATAACATTCAGTTTTGTTATTTTTTTCTGTCAATTCTTTTGAAAGAGCATTTACACTTATTAAGACATCGTTTCTGTTGTATATTTTCCATTTTTTTAAGAATATAATAAAACATGCATTATATAAAATGATATGAGCTATTTGTTTTGTAAATATTCCTCCGCATTCTCTCTCTCTTCCTATACAGGGTGTCTCTTAAGTAAGGCCACATTGGTCTTATTCGCGCAGCGCGGCTTCACCGTACATTGGCTTAGACGTTTCCTTTTTTAATTCAAAAACTACAGCGGATATCTCAAAATGGTATAAAACTTTTTTGTTCCCCTTGACCCATTCTACGCCCCCAATGCGGCCCCGACCTTACTTAAAAGACACCCTGTATAGGAAGAAAGTGTACATGTATAAAACATCGAAAATAAAAAAATTTTTTAATGTGTCGATATAATTATATAGCCGTAGGTTTGCAATGGTAATTACCAGTAATACTAACAATTATCGATAAATTACACATACATATATTCGACCGACTATAAATATTTTGCTAATTTTGGAAGTTTAAATACTAAAAAATTAACAAATCATTAGAAAAATAAAATTAAAAAAGTATATATAAAAGTAATAGAAAATAAAAAATATATTTTAAGAATTAAATCTTTTATTAATTGTATGTATATACCTACACCTGATACCGGATAGATGAGAGTGCTAAGCTGCTGAGATGAGATAGCACGATAGTCGATAGCAGATTTGAGGTTAAGTTATTGTTCTCTAGATCTTCTCACGCGCGTGTCATTAGAGCCAATAAATTATTTAAAAAACGCAAGTTTTATTTTCTATAATTTTATTAAAATTCCTATAAATAGAGTTTACCTAATAATAATGAAATATACATTGTTCGATCATCTCTTTCTGCATGTAAATTCTTGCTATCGAACATTACGTTATTGCACGTCTACTGCAACTACAACTGAATTATGCAACTACAAAAAACTAGCAGGTACTTTTGCGTTATCTTACACTCTTCTTATACAGATTCACATACGTTACAGTCTGCAGCAAGTGAATTAATTAAAAATTATCAATTGAAAATTAATGATAAGAACAAAAAGAATATGAAATGTGCTTCTTACTGTAATATTTTAAAATTTACGTTATAGATTTTCCTGCAATTTTTAAACCGAAAGATGTGGAAAAAGGCTGGTATGACACCTGGCAACGTAATAAATACTTTGCATCATCCAGGAAAATGAGGAGGACAAGCAATAGTACTCAAGAAGAAAAAGAAGCCAAAGTACCTTTTAGTATGATCTTACCACCGCCTAATATTACAGGAATATTACACCTAGGTCATGCACTTACTGTTATAATCCAAGATGTTTTGGCAAGATGGTTAGCAAAAGTATATTAAGTAATAATACAATATAATAATATAATGCATATATATAGTAAGTAGTATATATAGATATATAACAACATGAGATGCATACATATTCGCATATATCTAATAGTTTAGAGTATCTAGTATAATAATATTATATATACAGGGTGTTTCCAAATTAAATGGCAAAACTTCGGGAGCGTGTAGAGGAGTAAAAAACTAAGAAAAAAAGTCCTATAGACATATGCTTCTTTTTGCTTTGTTTCGCAGGAAATCACGAAAAAAGAAAAAAATATATTTAATTTATTATTTTAATTATTTTATTTATAAACTTTTTAATGAAGATTTT